GAGCCTCATTGGTCCTCCTGGTCCTAACCATAAGTTCTTCAAGTTGACGGATACGTACAGTGTTAAGGTTAGAGTTGGCGTCAATTCCCACAACTCTGTCGATGGCTGTGTGACCTTGTTTGACGTTCCTAGTAATCCTACGGACCATGATGGGCAAGACTCGGTCAGCTGAACCTCCCTCGCTTATGTTGTAAAAACTTCGGTCTCCGTTGAAAGGTAAAGGTTGACCTTATTCATTGCTCCATCGATTCAAGGTTGTTGCCCACATGGGAGTAGGACCTTGAAATGCTGGACGGGGGTTGGGGTTTGCAGCTACTGGGGGTAGGTTGTTGACTTCTGGTTCGGAGTCGGAGCTATCCAAAAAACCTTCTGCACGGTGATCATCCAAAGGGATCGGGTGATCATCTTCTAGCTCTTCATTGAGCCATCATCCAATGCCTTGGTTCAGATAGTACAGATCACCGGGAAGGTGGAAACCAGCCATGCTATCTACGCAAGAATGGGGAAAGAATAGTTAATAGGCGTTCCAATCTAAGATACTTATAAGATGATCGTTATGAGTTAGACCAATACCTGCATAGTACATACTAATTACATGAGACCAAAATAGAATTAACCTTCGAATAAGTGACCCTAACTCTAAATCCTCAACCAAACAAGGAACAGGAAGTGAAGCAAAGATTACAGATTCTAAGTCTATAGCACCTTAGTCACATGTAACCGTAGAGTATCCACTTAGCAACCATTGCTCTACTAGTAACGACCTTTTTAGTTCTCACATATGTAATTTATAGTAATACAGAGTACTCCTATAGTATTCTTATTCTAATGTTCTTGTAGTAGTGTTGGAAACCAGCCATGCTATCTACGCAAGAATGGGGAAAGAATAGTTAATAGGCGTTCCAATCTAAGATACTTATAAGATGATCGTTATGAGTTAGACCAATACCTGCATAGTGCATACTAATTACATGCGACCAAAATAGAATAGACCTTCGAATAAGTGACCCTAACTCTAAATCCTCAACCAAACAAGGAACAGGAAGTGAAGCAAAGATTACAGATTCTAAGTCTATAGCGCCTTAGTCACATGTAACCGTATAGTACCCACTTAGCAACCATTGCTCTACTAGTAACGACCTTTTTAGTTCTCACATATGTAATTTATAGTAATACAGAGTACTCCTATAGTATTCTTTTTCTAATTTTCTTGTAGTAGTGTTGGTAAGTTTTTATACTTGTTGCAACACCACAATCATTCTTAGGCACATGCTAGTCACTCCTAGGAAAATGTAGTTGATCAGGCTACATCCACCCAGGTTTGACTATATGTCTCTAAGCCTAATTGTGTTGTTCAACAATCTTAATACTTTTGTTCTGTTCTAGTATGATACTGGCCCTTTGGATGGATGGATGTATATATATAATTAGTTAAATATTTTATTACTTAAAAGTAAATATTCTTGGTCAGAGTGTTTTAATTCTGATGTGTTTATAGTTCGTATATATTTTATGGGTTAATATACTTGATTCATTATAAACAATGCTCTGATACCAATCTGTCACACCCCAAAACCGAGAACGGCGGAATACGTTGCATTAATATAATAATTTGTAATACAAGCGTTAATATAATAATTGTGGAGGACGTTATGTACAGTATCATAACAATGCATAATAGTAAAGATAATCAACAACATCCATTGCATTAGTATAATAATTTGTAATACAAGCGTGTTCTGTACAGTTTGTTAGACACCAAAAGTATAATCAAAATACAAGATGAGTCTTGTATATGCTCTATCTTCCCAAAAGCTACATCTGTACCTGTCTACTGATGACCTGAGAATACAAGTTATTTTGAAAATGAGTATCAGCATAAAGCTGGTGAGTTCATAAGTATTTCGTGTCATTGCTTGTATAAAAGTGTTTACAATCATGTAATATAATAGTTGTTATCAAGGTTTGAAAATAGTATGATCCCTAGAAAATCCTATATTTTCCAGCAAAAGTAGTTTTCTACCAAGACTCGGTTATTTTCATGTTCGATCCTTTGAAAATGTAAAAGCTTTCCCAGTGAAACTATAAGTATGAAAGTATAGTTTTAAATTTCTTTCATATAAAGTAATTGGGAAAATAATGTTTTACCCTTGCAGTATCACTGTCGGCTGAATGTAATAAAGATGCAAACTCCAGGTAGTATTAAATGTGCAATACACCTCGGGGAGTCTGTCTTACCTTTAATTCTTAATGTGTTAATTAAAGGTCTAAATGTGAACTCGTATGTAACCATGCTGATTGACGATCGAATAACAGATGACCCTCCAGGTCACACGTAGTATGGTGACATTTTGTCACCCCTGGGCCTAGTCGGCTCGGACTGTAGCTAGCAGTTGGGATGTGGGAGTGTCTGTACCGTATATATCTATACACATAATGCCCGCTCTCCCTCCAGGAGACACTGGTTACATGGTGATCGCACAGTGAAGTGTCATATCGAGAAGTAGTATGTCACATTCTATTTTAGTATATTCTCTTGTATTATAGTATAATGTATTGAGTGTTCTCTTCTATAGTGTGTAGTATTCTCTTCGCATAGTATTTAGCATGTATAGACTCATAACTGTACTAACTATAGTAAGTGTCATGGTAATTGTAGTAATGAGCAGTAATCCTTAACTATACCTATTATAGTTAAATAAGAATTTTAGTTTCCTACCTTTGATAGACAGAGGTATTGAATTGAAGTGTTGACTTTTATATCCAACACAAATATATATATATATATATATATATATATATATATATATATATATATATATAACTAAGAATTCAACGACAGTCGAAAAGATAACAATGTACCCTAAGTCCACAATCAAACAAGAACATCATGTAAGGTGAGTTATCAGTCCTAAGTCCTTCAAGTCTTACTTATACAAATATATTGGTGTAGATATGGTTTGGGAAAACAAAGGAGTTTAAAAGAGTTTGGAAATAGTTCTATAACAATTTAACATGAAAAATGAGTTTGATAACCATTTAAAGCAGTTAAAAGTATAGAAAATCCTTTTTTGGTTGCAAGTTATAAATCACATGCGATTGATACTATAACTTGTTTGATTTAACTTGTATCCCCCCCCCCCATAAAAGCTTTTAAAAAAATTAAAAGGTTGATTAAGGGGTATGAACTCACGTATAGTGAGTAACTCGAATGAAAGATCGCTATAGGATTGTAGGGTGTCAAATGGAGTCTTGGGCGCAAATGAATCCTATTTAACAAATAATTACATATATGTGAGTACATTAGTAGTTATAATCACTAATGGTGATAAGGGCATGTGTTAAGGACATAAAACACTTAGAATTAAGTGTTATCAACTCATATGGTTGCACATAAGGAGTGTATAGCCCTATATCGGAGTGTAAGGCCACAAAAAGCATGGCTTCTGTGTGTGTGCGGCCAGAGTGTGCCGCCAAGTGTATATGCGGCCGTACACTCACTATGGAGTGTGTCAAAATCGTGGTTCCAAGCCTTTGGGACGCTCTAGTGAAGATGTTTTGACCATTGCTTAGCCAGATTGGGAGCTTGGGGCCATTTTGGACCCTAAAAAGGGTGTGTGCGGTTGTGCATGGTGTGTGCGGCCAGGCCTGTGTGCGGCCGTACACAGTCCTACAAACTTGTCCAAATCGATCTTCCAAGGCTTTATGATGATTCTAAGAAGGTGTTTTGGTCAATGTTAAGCTTGGGTGAGTGTATAAACCCATTTTAGGGCCAAAAGATGTGCGTGCGGTCACACATGATGTATGTGCGGCCGTACACACACGAAGATCATCTAAAATGATGATTTCATGGGTCAAACTCGAGGCAAAGTCTTTCCAACGTGTTTTTGTAAAGATCTAAGGGTGTTTACTTACTTGTTTTGATGATTGGAGAGGAAAACTTGAAGAACTCTTGAGAGAGAATGTTCCAACTTGAAGGAGTGTGAAAAAAGGGTGTAAGGTTGACTTAGGTCCTTTATATAGGCTGCAATGTGAGGCTAGGGGGTGTGCGGCTGGCTGTGTGCGGCTGGCTGGACGTACACTCGGGTGTGCGGCCGCACACACCATGTTTGGTGTGTTTGGCCCGGTTTTGTGATGTTTTACACATTCTAACCCTCCCTAAGACTTTTATCTCGATTGTATTAAGTCTAAAGCACTTTATATGGACCCAACACTTATTACAAAATAGCAAAATGAGGCTAACTTTGATTAAAATGAAGGATGTATCGGTTAGGAAATTTTGGGTTGTCACACAATAGCATTAGGGAACTACTCAGATTTACTGCATATTGGGGGAGGAGCCCTAAAATGAAAGCTAGGTTCCATACCATTTGCTATGGTCTAGTTTGGAATCTATGGAAATATCGTAACGATCAGATGTTCAATCAGGTGTTTATTAGTCATTTGTATGGTGTAGAGAAAATCAAATCAATTTCTATACATGTGGGTTAAATGTAGGGGTAAAGATGGTATATGTTCATAGGTAGAGTGGTCATCATCACATTTTTGTATTTGATAACTTTCATACTCTGTTTCTGTTGCTTGTCTTTTTCCCTTTGATAGTTACTTACTAGTCGGGGGTTTTTATTTTTATTAATAATATTTGTTGTTTCCAAAAAAAAGGAAGATATGTAGGAATAAAATTTAGAAGGATATTTAATTTCTCATTAATTAAACAAATGATAAAAGTTTTGAATCGATTTTCTTAGGAGTTGTGAACGTTTTCTAAAATTCTTATCGAGGTAGTTTCTTGAATTTCAATGAAATTAAATTTCTTATGTTATTACAACCAAATACGGGAATTAGTCCAAATTATATTTGAATTCGTACTAAATCCCATAAAATACCGCAAACCAAACACTACGTTATATAAGTTTCCCTCATAATAATTCATTTTTTATTAGTACTAATTAATAGTACAAAATTGTGTCAGTGTTTAAGGAGTTGGGCATTTACCCCAAATGTCTATGTCCCTGGACTTCTCAAAGAGGCATGACCCTCTTGTAGGGATGAGCAAAAGGACCGGGGAACCGGCCGGCACCGGTCCCGGAACCGGCACCCGATGGAACCGGTCGGGCCGGGACCTATACTACAGTTTCGTGCTTATTTGGAACCGGGACCCGGTAAGAACCAGCTGTTGGAACCGATTGTTGGAACTAGCTCAAAACCGGGAACCGGTCCGGCTACATAAAACCCTTGGGTAGTTGGGCTGTCGCTTGGAGTTCTTAGTCCCCATAACAAAAAAAATTGTGATTCCAACTCCCCAAGTCACGAACGAATCAGCGACCCTACTGCGACCATCGACAACAATCACGAGTCACGACATCTCTTCATCATCATTCAATTCTTCATCTCCAACTCCAAGTTTCCATTGATTACAACTTTCCATCTCCAAGTTTCAATCGATCTTCAATTCTTCATCATCATTAATTGATTTTCATCTTCAATTGCTTCAATGATTCAAACTATGGGTGTTCATGAAGATCAAGTAAGGGCATATATTTATATTTCATGTGTTAAGATTATATATTTCAATATTTGCTTCAATACTTCAATGATTCACCAAATAATGGCATGCATGCAAGTTTTTTTTTCTTTGCTTTTGTTGTCTCCATTCCAAAGATATGCATTCCTATCCCTACTTAATTAAAAGATCTTGATTCTTGTACATTAATATATGTTTCATGTTTTAAGCTCCATTTAACAATGTACTTTGTAGACATACATGCAAGATTTTTGTTAGATTAGTTTATTTTTTATAGTATGAATGTAATTATGTAAGATTGTCAAAACTACGAATTTGGTTAGTACTTTTGTTATATAATTAATGTGTAAAATTGACAATGTAGGATTTGGATGGGTTACCAAATGTACCATCATCAAGATACCGAAACTCGGATGTTCATGATGCCAATATTGAAGATGGTAATCTGGCTAATTGGATTGGAAAAGACTTTGATGATCACGTAAGATTAGCATTTAGCTCATTAGCAATATTTACTTTTTTAGCAATCTGTCCACATTTTCAATTGTTCATAACTCATTCAATTTAACTTTTTTTGACCTGAATCTTTTTCCTACATGTAGATTAGGATTTGTAGTTGAGTTTAGACTATAAAAACGCTTAATTTGGTTAAAAATTGAATGAGTTACAAGCCCCGCAAGGAAGGGTGTCAAATCTGATTTTTTTTTTCTAACAGCAATAAAACGTGATCTGATTTTGTTGTTCAATTGTGCATAACTCATTCAATTTAACTTTTTTTGACCTGAATCTTTTTCCTACATGTAGATTAGGATTTGTAGTTGATTTTAGACTATAAAAACGCTTGATTTGGTTAAAAATTGAATGAGTTACAAGCCCCGCAAGGAAGGGTGTCAAATCTGATTTATTTTTTCTAACAGCAATAAAACGTGATGTGATTTTGTTGTTCAATTGTGCATAACTCATTCAATTTAACTTTTTTTGACCTGAATCTTTTTCCTACATGTATATTAGGATTTTAGTTGAGTTTAGACTATAAAAACGCTTAATTTGGTTAAAAATTGAATGAGTTACAAGCCCCGCAAGGAAGGGTGTCAAATCTGATTTTTTTTTTTTTTTAACAGCAATAAAACGTGATCTGATTTTATTGTTCAATTGTGCATAAATCATTCAATTTAACTTGTTTAGACCTGAATCTTTTTCCTACTAGTAGATTAGGATTTGTAGTTGAATTTAGACTATAAAAACGCTTGATTTGGTTAAAATTTGAATGACTTACAAGCCCCAGAAGAAAGGGTGTCAAATCTGATTTTTTTTTTTTTTTTTTTATATTTATTTTTCAGCATTTAAACATAATATGACTTATTATATGTTTTATTTTGAGAATATAGGATTATGGAGAAGATTCAGAAGAAGATTATATAGAAGAAACACCGGCATGGAATGTTATACCAAGTGATGAATCAAACCAAGAAGAGGAGCCACAAGAACAACAACCTTCAAAAAAACGAAAATTTGCAACCCCACAAAAACGAAGACAACCAAAAAAACCAACACAAACAAAAAAACCACCACCACCACAAAAACGAACACAAGAAAAATACCCAACAAAACCAAAACCCAAAAACAAAAAAAGACTCAAAAAGAGTTAAGGGACCGGATTAACCCAACTAGACGAGGTGAGGGTAGAGATAATTGTACCGCTCCTGTTTGGAAATACTTCGAGATAGAATGGATAAAGGAGGACGATGGAATTGAAAGAAAGTGGGCCGAATGTAATTATTGTTTACATTTACTAGCTGCGGATCCAAACCGGAATGGGACAACTTCAATAAATAAGCATTTTAATGGGTGCAAGTTAAATCCAGACAACATACCGAAAGAAGTTGATGACAAACAACAAAAGTTGTCATTTACGAAAGCTCCTAATGGTGAGGGTCATGTATACACATGGAAACATGATGATACTAGGATCCAACTTGCCTTGCTAGGCCTTTTCACCAGCGGCACAAACTACCATTTAAATTCATTGAAAACGAGGCATTCATAGAATTTGTGAACGCCCTCAATGGTAGGGTGAAATTGCCTTCAAGGAATAAAATTTCTCGTGATGTTGTGTCATTCTATTTAATGGAGAGGCAGAAGTTGTACAAACATTTGAGCAACCCCAAAACAGCCATCCACTTGATAACCGACACGTGGACATCCTCGTGTCAAAAGATAAATTATATGGTTGTCACGGCCCACTTCATTACCCCAAGATTTTGTCATGCACAAAAGGGTAGTCAACTTTAGAGAGGTTGATACTCACAAAGCTGAAGACATGGCCCGGGAGTTGCTAATTTGCATAAACGAGTAGGGGATGAAGAATGTCATGACGATGACCGTTGATAATGCCAAGACAAATGATGCTGCAATCAACATCATTGTGAAAGAACTACCGGGTATTTACGAGAATGGCAAACATTTTCACATTAGGTGTATGGCTCATATCATAAACCTAGTTGTGAAAATGGGGTTAAAATACGAAGTTTATCATGTAAAAAACCTACAAGATGCGATGAAATACATTAGAGCCTCCCCGCAACGGATCAAGACCTTTAAACAAGCCATGAAGGATGCGGCTGTAGAAAGTCAAAGGTTTTTGTGTGGTGAAACTCCAACAAGGTGGAACTTTACCTTTGAATTGCTAAGATCAGCATACGATGTGAAATACGCATTTCTCGAATATAGCCATCAAGGTAAATAAAATCAAATATATTTCACCACTAAAATTAGCAATATTTACTTTTTTAGCAATCTGTCCAAATTTTAAATTGTGCATAACTAATTCAATTTAACTTGTTTTGACCTAAATATTTTTCCTGCATGTAGATTAGGATTTGTAGTTGAGTTTAGACTATAGAAACGCTTGATTTGGTTAAAAATTGAATGAGTTACAAGCCCCCCAAGGAAGGGTGTCAAATCTGATTTTTTTTTTCTAACAGCAATAAAACGTGATGTGATTTTGTTGTTTAAATGTGTATAACTCATTCAATTTAACTTGTTTTGACCTGAATCTTTTTCCTACATGTAGATTAGGATTTGTAGTTGAATTTAGACTATAAAAACGCTTGATTTGGTTAAAAATTAAATGAGTTACAAGCCCCGCAAGGAAGGGTGTCAAATCTGATTTTTTTTTTCTAACATTAATAAAACGTAATCTGATTTTGTTGTTCTTTTTTGTAGATCCAATGTTTCAGAAAACTGTGGGAAGGGTACCATCACATTCAGATTTTGAGATGATTAAAAAGATGATGGAGTTCCTTGAGAAGTTTAAGAAGAAAACTGAAAAAGTTTCGTGTTCAACAAAGCCTATCTTCCATACGTATACCCGGGAGATCCTAGATATAGAGCAACATCTTAGGAAACATGAAACCAACCCGGATTTTATGTTTATGGTACCAAATATGAAAGATAAATATGACAAATATTGGGGTGACTATGATACTATAAGTGATTATGTCTTCTTTGCGGCATTGTTAGATCCTCAATGCAAGTCAAAGTTTATGAAAGTTGTTTTTACCCAAATGCTTAAAGCCAAGAACAAAGATAAAAAGATGTCCGCTGATGAGATAGAATCCAAAGCACGTGCAAAGGTTATTGATATCGAATGCAAATTGGACAAGTTTTTCAAGACATACTTGGAAAGGTCAAACATGACCTCATCGTCTCAACAAGAAACTCCGTAAGAAGTTGTTAATTTTGATGACGAAAACGAATTCTTTGGTAGCTATATGACTTCGGGAAGTTCCCCTCGACATCGTCAGAAAGTCAATTGAAACGATACTTAAACGAGGACCCAATCGGCTTTGACAAAGGATATGATATCCTCACATGGTGGAAAAATAATGCGGTGCGGTTTCCGATCGTTGCTCGAATGGCAAGAGGTATCGACCTTCTTTTACTCTAATTTAAAATTTTAATTTATAAATTTGTGTAATGTATTATACACTAATTTCTTTATTAATAGATATTTTGGGGATGCAAATTTCCACCGTAGCATCCGAATCCACATTCAGTAACGGTCGTCGAGTAATTACCGACTACCGTACTAATTTGTCCGTTGTGATTGTGGAGGCATTGATATGCACTCAAGATTGGCTAAGAAAGAGTAGCTTGCCTATATATGACTACGACGAAGTGCACGATGTGTTAGCTGACGATGACCTCGCTATCGGTAATACACTAATACTTGTTACATCTTATTTTTAACTTCTTATTAGTATTTGTTACATTTTAGTAAGTAATAACATTTTTCTTTTGTATTATATATAGACATTGTGGATGCTATACACAACTTGAAGCTAACGGGGAAGAGATCGGAGAATTAGTCAAAATGTCAAAGAAATGTTGGAATCCACATATTAGACTTTGTTTTTTTTTTGTTGGTGAAACTTGGAAGTATATTTTGAATGTCGAAAGTGTGTTTTGAATGTTGAATGTTTGAATGTTGGATATTTAATAACATAACTTTGACGACATCCATGTTTAATTTGCTTGTAATAATTTAAATAAAAGATCCATGGTTAATTTGCTTGAATGTTGAATCGTTTATTAAAATGTTGATTATTTACTAGTATTTAAACATTTCACTTCTTCATAAAAAACCAATAAAACTCAAAGTAATTTAGTCTTTGGAATTACTCGAAAAATCGGCAAAAATCGGACCCGAAATACCAATAAAACGCAAAGTAATTTAGTCGTTGGATACATCAAAATTTAGCCGGTTCCAAACTCGAAAAACCGGCAAAAACCGGACCCGGAACCGGAACCGGTAGAACCGCCAGGCCGGTTCAGTTCTTCATTTTGGCCGAATCCGGTTCCCCGGTCCGGTTCGGTTCGGACCGGTTCTGGCCGGTTCTGGCCGGTTCTTTTGCTCATCCCTACCCTCTTGACATTCGTCATTCGTTGTGTTTGATGTCAAATTAGTCATACATAAACCAGTGTTATACACAAACTGAATTGTATTAGATCACAATGCATGTCTTTTGATATTCATATAGATTTCAAATACATCAAATATGCATGCTAAACTAAAATCACTAACATCACATGTTTTAATGTTTTACGTTTCAACATCAAATTAGTCTTACACAAATCAACGTTCTACACAAACCATATATCTTTTGATATCATATAAATTTCAGTTACATCAATATTGATGTTAAACTGAAATCACCAACACTATGTTTTAATGTTTTACGTGTCAAAAAAGCAGAATATTAAAATGTCAATAATTTATATTATTATTGGGCTAATTGTCTTTTGAGATTATTGTCAGACTTTTTGACCTTTTATAATGCTTACAAGACAGAGAAAACTGAATTACATAATTCTATATGTAAAACTTGATAAAGAAAAACAAATGTATTTTTTTGTTGTACATTGACTTTGAATTCGTTTGGATCAAAAGTGTATCTATAATTTATTTGATCACAACTACTTGATTGTAAGCAAAACATATCTTATTATCAAAGTCGTCATGTTGACAATTTTGTCATGTATTAATTTCATTTTCAATAAAAAATAATACCCGTTTACTTATATATGGCGTGGGATTGATCATTTAGGGTAACAACAATTATAAATTAAAAATTAGAAATATACAGAAGGACGAGTCATGTTAATTGTCTTTTGACGGTTGTTATTATTATGCTGTGAGTCATGTTAATAACTTATAACGTAAAGTTATATCTAATTTAAATACGTATGATAGTAAATTCAAAGCTTGTAAAATGTAAACTCATAAACACAAATTTAAAAATAGAGAAATAATAAAGGTAATAAGGCAACTTAAATAATGAGTCAGAAACGTAAAATCATAAGACAATTGATCAAATTCAAAAAATTGGGAGACGTCAAAGTCATAAGCATGTTCTTGCATGACCATTGTCCAATTAGAACCTGCAGAAAAAAATATATTTTAAACAACAGTGTTGCCAATATAAAAATATTATCATTGCATATAAATTACGTCTTAATATAACGAATATTTAATTTTTATACACTTATTGGGAACTACAATAATTATTATAATAATATATAATTTTAAAATAATAGTTACTTCTCCGGTCGAATAAAACTTAACTTTAGATTAAATAAAGGATATATATATATATATATATATATATATATATATATATATATATATATATATATATATATATATATATATATATATATATATATATATATAAAAGGTTAAGTTATTTTGTTTTTACTAACTATTGTGTGCCAGAATGTACAAATTTGGATCAATAGATGAAATTAATCAATGGACATGTTTTGAGGGTGTATGATATTAAAATAGGATAATATGTACTATATAATCACACAAATTTTAGCAAAATGGTGTTTTGAACAATTAACTATAGTTATAAAAGGAAATTTTCGGATTTTTAAGGATGATTAAATCTCCTAATTTTAAAAATCTGAATTTTTTTAAGTAATTCAATTTTAATCCTAACGTGATTTGTATACATAACCGATTTTATTTTGTTAGAATATTTTTTTTTGTTAGAATGATGTTCTTTCATAGTTTTATTCTATTAGAATATTATTGAAGAATAACAATATTCTTGAATCAGAGTTTGAAAAATAACAACATTCTAATATATATATTCTTATACATCTGAACTTAAATACAAATTCATACATATTCTTATAGATTAAAAGTCTTATACATTTTAATATAATTATACATATTCTAAAAGAATATCAACAAAAATGAATAAAAAAACTTAAAAATTATCAACATTCTAAAATTGTGAATATGTTCAAACATTATTCATTCTTCAAGTTATTCCTATTAGGTCTTCAACGCAATGATAGCAACTAATGCAGCCCCATTCATCTTGTTAAATGGTTATTGAACAAATGCACTTAATCTTCTTCAATAGTCCAAATAATCGACTTGATTCCATCTATTCTTACGAAAATGTGATGTATTATCGTAAGAATGTAATTCTTCAATCCATTCTTCCAACCATTCCTATCACAAATAAAACAAAACTAAGAATGGTTAAAAGCATGTTACTTGCAATCCCCATGACTTAATTTATTTTGGAAGAATGTATAAAATATGATAGAATACATAGAATATATTCTGGCAGAATACATAGAATAAATTCTGACAGAATAAATAGAGTACATACAACTATTTTCTTATTTCGGTAACATACTAAGCAACACACGTATTCAAAACCCACTGAAATTTGAAAGCAAATTCCACTTTGCCAAAACTCAATCAAATAATATTAAATCGTGTAGGAACAACAAATGCAAAATCTATCTAATCTAATTTAATACCAATAATAAAAGAGCAGTGAAACGGGATTAAAGAATCGAATGCAATTCCAAACTTAATCCAAATCAACTAGCATCAATCTATTGTTATGAAAAAGGCATCCAATCCAATCTAAATTAAGTTATATATTTCTGAAAAGAATAAGGAACAAAACGAAGTTAAAAAATTAAAGATTATTAACTATTTTTTCATTGAGGCATTTTATCGAACACATGGAGACCATAGTAGAATCATATTTAGCAAATCAGACTACTACTGGATATGGAATATCTAATCAATGCCACTGCTCTGTAACAGAAAAAGAAGACAAAAAGAATTTCAAATCGTACAAGATTATGTATATAACCCAATGAAAATCATGATAACAGTTTTATGTTTCTGTCATGTCATTGTCACAGCCATGGGCACAAATCAAAGTTGACGAAAACTATCTAATTAAATTGTTATTTCTCATGTTCGTCATTGATTCATTACAATCAGATTTGTTATGAGATTCAAGCTGTAATTTGTGAAGGAAGAAACAGATGTTTTGACGTTCTTTTTAGAATAAAAAAAAACCCTAACATTAAAATAATTTGGAGATTACTAGATTTGTGACAAACCTCATTGTTAGACTCGTCCTTGACTCGTTTAGCAGTTGATTCACTACATCGAGATTCAGAAATTGTAGCAGGAAAAAGACCTAATCCAACCAAAGCTTCCGCCGCCTCCAAATGGAGAGGAATATGGTTTTGAGAAGGGATACATGATTGCAAGTTTTGTAGTGTTTATTCCCTTATTTTAGGATATATTAACTGAATTATTCATTTACCATAATTAAATATACTAAGATTACCAGTATACCCTTATTTATTTATTTAATTATTTTATTATTTCGTGAATTCTCATTAGTGCATACATGAACACAATAGTGGTCAGGTTCAATAGAGAACCATAATAAATCAAAGAACCAATGGTGAGAATCGGAAATCATAACGATCAATGGCCAAGAAAATTAATCTACACTTTTAGACACCGGATTATACCAAAAAAATCCACCATTTACAAAAAAAAAAAAAAAAAAAAAACTCATCATTTTTTTTTCGATTAAAAATTTTTTAGGCCATGTTTTTTATCAAAAAAAAAAAAAGAACCGAATATACCGTTGTTCACGATTTTTCGTCCTTTTTCCTTAGAGATACATTATGATATATAAAAAACGATTTTTTTTTTTTTATAAAAAAACTCACTTCATTTTCTTTAATGTGAATGTAAAAAATTGAAATATTTACAGCTTAGATTCACAGTGTGAATCTACACTGTTTGAGTATTTTTTTTTTTAATCGGTATTGATGTAGAGTACAAAAAATTAATAAATTTGGTATAATTAGTTTTTTTCTATAAAAAAAAGGTTAAATATTGAAAAAAAATAAGAAAATTAAGTGATTTTTTTCGAAAAAAAGTTCGTTTTTTATATATCATCATGGATCTCTATGAAAAGAGGACGAAAAATCATGAACAACAGTATATTCGGATTTTTTTTGTGATAAAAAGTTTGGCCTAAAAAAAATTTTAAATGAAAAAAGGAAGTGAGTTTTGTTATAATCCAGTACATGTGCATCCATTATAAAAATTTACAACCTTTCATTTTGCCGTTGATCGCTTTAAATTCTGATACTTTGCTTGGGTTTCTTAGTTCCTTGAATAATAATGGTTCTGTATTGAACTTTTATATATATATATATATATATATATATATATATATTATATATATATATATATATATATATATATATATATATATATATATATATATATATATATATATATATATATATATATATATATATATATATATTCTAGCCGTTTACCCGCGCAAAGCGGCGGACGACAAATAATTTGTTTCGACAATTAATTTATTTTCGATGGAGAATGATTATTTTCAATTCAATCATTAGTTTGTTTTGGGAAACATGTCATATTAAAAATAAAGAAAATTCATGAAATGACCAAATTATAGGGTGTTGAGTATTTATTTGGATGAAAAAAAATATGGTCAAAACCTTAGAAAGAGAAGATTTATAGGAATTTGTTTAAATTTTAATATTATTTTATTAGTGATTAGTTGTACAATTAGATTAATGATTTGGACGTCTTTAAAAAATATTATTATTTTATTAAATATATTTTTAGAAATAGTGGGATTTGTTTTATAAGATAGTGTATATATATATAT